TTTGGGCAGGATTTTGGGATGTTTCAGGCAGGATTTTGGGATGTTTTGGAAAGGATTTTGGGAAGAATTTTGGGCAGGATTTTGAAGTATTTTGGACAGGATTTTGGGGTGTTTCAGACAGGATTTTGGGGTGTTTTGGGCATGATTTTGGGACGAATTTTGGGCAGGATTTTGGGGTGTTTTTGGAGGGATTCTGAGGTGTTTTGGTGCCGCACGCCGCTCTCAAAACTCGCCGCACTCCGAGGCCACACGAGGCATTTCAGGGAGGTTTTTGGGGTACTCTGGGGGTGTTTCCAGGCAGATTTGGGGTTCTCCGTGGGGGTTTCGGGGCGCCTCAGGCGTGCTGGCGGCGCCAGACGATGACGGTGCCGGCGGCGTCCCCCGAGGCCAGCAGGGACTCGTCGCAGTTGAAGGCCACGGCCAGCACGGCGGCCCCGTGGCCCTGCAGCGTGTTCACCGTGGCGCGCGCCGCGCGGCCCACGTCGAAGAAGTGCACGGAGGCGTCCTCGCTGCCCGTCACTGTGGGGACACGGGGACATCGGGGACATTGGGGACATCAGGGACATTGGGGACATGGGGGACATTGGGGACACATCAGGGTCCCACACATCCCGGCCCAGCTCCACCATGGTGGCGGCTGCAAGGACATCGGGGACATTGGGGACATTGTCAGGGACACGGGGACATCAGGGACATTGGGGACAGCGTCAGGGACACGGGGACATCGGGGACACGTCAGGGACACGGGGACATCATCAGGGACACGGGGACATCAGGGACATTGGGGACATTGGGGACATGTCCGAGCCCAGCTCCACCATGGTGGCGGCTATGGGGACAGAGACAGGGTCAGGGCCACGGGGACATCATCAGAGACGAATTTTGGGCAGCATTTCGGGGCACTCTAGGCAAGATTTTGGGAGGTTTTGGGCAGGATTTTGGGATGTTTCAGGCAGGATTTTGGGATGTTTTGGAAAGGATTTTGGGAAGAATTTTGGGCAGCATTTCGGGGCACTCTAGGCAAGATTTTGGGAGGTTTTGGGCAGGATTTTGGGATGTTTCAGGCAGGATTTTGGGATGTTTTGGAAAGGATTTTGGGAAGAATTTTGGGCAGGATTTTGAAGTATTTTGGACAGGATTTTGGGGTGTTTCAGACAGGATTTTGGGGTGTTTTGGGCAGGATTTTGGGAAGAATTTTGGGCAGGATTTTGAAGTATTTTGGACAGGATTTTGGGGTGTTTCAGACAGGATTTTGGGGTGTTTTGGGCAGGATTTTGGGAAGAATTTTGGGCAGGATTTTGAAGTATTTTGGACAGGATTTTGGGGTGTTTCAGACAGGATTTTGGAGTGTTTTGGAAAGGATTTTGGGAAGAATTTTGGGCAGGATTTTGAAGTGTTTTGGACAGGATTTTGGGGTGTTTCAGACAGGATTTTGGGGTGTTTTGGGCAGGATTTTGGGACGAATTTTGGGCAGGATTTTGGGGTGTTTTTGGAGGGATTCTGAGGTGTTTTGGTGCCGCACGCCGCTCTCAAAACTCGCCGCACTCCGAGGCCACACGAGGCATTTCAGGGAGGTTTTTGGGGTACTCTGGGGGTGTTTCCAGGCAGATTTGGGGTTCTCCGTGGGGGTTTCGGGGCGCCTCAGGCGTGCTGGCGGCGCCAGACGATGACGGTGCCGGCGGCGTCCCCCGAGGCCAGCAGGGACTCGTCGCAGTTGAAGGCCACGGCCAGCACGGCGGCCCCGTGGCCCTGCAGCGTGTTCACCGTGGCGCGCGCCGCGCGGCCCACGTCGAAGAAGTGCACGGAGGCGTCTCTCCCAGTCCTTCCCCAGTTTGTCCCAGTCCATTCCCTGTTCATCCCAGTCCACCCCAGTCCATTCCCAGTCCGTCCCAGTCCATTCCCAGTCCATTTCCAGTCCCTTCCCAGTTTGTCCCAGTCCCTCCCAGTCTACTCTCAGTCCCTCCCAGTCCATTCCCAGTTCATCCCAGTCCATTCCCAGTTCATCCCAGTCCACCCCAGTCCTTCCCCAGTTTGTCCCAGTGCTCACCCACGCAGGCTCCCTGCCGGAAGGACATCAGGGGGCAGAAGCAGCTCCTCAGGGGCTGCTCCCGGTGCCGCGTGGGGAAACTGCGCCGGAGCCGCAGCCCCGGGGCCCCCGAGCCCCCCTCGTCCTCCACC